GTCTCCAGCCAGTTGGGTTCTTTTTCTGAGACGCTCAGGCAGGGTCTGACTGGGCCCCTTGCCTCTGTGCACACCTGGTGGATATCACTTTAAAAAATAAATTATGCCTCATTAAATTACAATTAAGTGGAATCACGATCATTTGTTTTTCTAGAAGGAAGATGTTTTGCATATTGAAAGCCTAATTTGTTGCAGGTGACAAAAAGGCTGAGCAGATTACCTAATATCACTTCATTTGGGGGCTGCGTGTGCCGCTTGGCCGGTGAGCCCCGCGGCGGGCCGTCAGGGTGCGTGTGGACTTTGGGTCCCCACCGCATGGCCAGTTTGTTCTCCCTCCTAAGCTTTCGGGGAAACCAGCTTCCCTTGTGTTCTGAGGAGGTGTTCTCCCTCTCCTCCTCGGCAGCTGTGTCGCTGCCGGCCTGCTCTGCGCCTCTCCTGGTTCTGCGGCCGGTCCGCTGCCGTGTGATTCAAAGTCCCGGGAGGCCCGGCCGCAGCTCCTCAGTGCGTTGGCCCTGACCTGGGTGGCAGGGGTGCCTCCCTCTGCGCAGACAAGGTGGCATCAGCTCCTGTGCATTTGTGACACTGTCGTCTTTTACCTTTGCTACTCTGAGACCTCCTCCTCCTTCCATATAGTGGAGTCATCGGGAGCTTCTGTCTCTGTGGTCTTTTCATCACTCTCTGAGCTCTGTATCAAGAAAAATAAGTGCATTCATGGAACCATTGTTCCACGTATCTGTGTGTGGAGTCTGAGGGTTCCCCACAGAAACAGTGGGAGAGACTGGATTGTCTCAGTGGTGGCAGACCTGTGGCACATGTGCCGTGGCGAGCTGGTTGGTCACTGAAACCTCTAAGACGTTTGCCATCACTGGTTTAGTGTCGCGAGCCGTGACGTCAGGATCCTGCCAGCAGGGCCTAAACCTGAAAGCATGAGGACAGAGAGACGGGAGGCACCTTTCTTCTTATGTTGCTTGCTTGATTTATTACAGAACCTCTTCCTTTTATACTCTCCAGCTGCATGGGAGCGAGGGCTGCACGGGAGCGAGAGTACCGCCCACACATTCCAGAGGGAATCAATAACAACCATTATGGGTTACATCTGCTACTAGCTGAACTCCCCCGTGGCTATGGGCGAGAGCACCTCCGTGCCAGCCAGGTGACTCAAAGTTCAATCATGGCTAGGCCTGTGTCAAGGCTCACCGTAATGGCTCGCCATAGTTTAGGGTCACCCTAAACTTCCCGTGAAGAGATGCAGCCAGATCCTGTGAGGTTCCAAAAGTTGGGGCTCCAGGAGAAAGGTAATTGTTAAACTCTAAGTGCCCGAGGGGCCTGGCCACTTGAGGGGCTCAGGATCGTGCTCCTGAAACCCCACACAGGTGTGCCGCATCCCTTACTGGTTTCACAGAGCCAGCGCTCCTCAGAGGAGTTTATTACTGTCCCGGGGCGGGGGCAAGGTAGTGCAGATGCCCAGAGTTAATCGTGCATGGCTGCTCCTGGGATATTTCCCCAGGTTTTCTGAGTATCACCATGTATCATGCGCACAAACAGCTTGGGGCAAACTATACATCGCTGAGGAAGTGTGGGAATCAAAGGCTCGTCACCAGAAAGTGCAGATTCAGAAACTCTTAAGGTCATTAATTCATCACAAAGAAATATTACTTATCTAAAAACACTAGGGAAAATATGGATATGAGGGTTCTTTCATTTTAAAAGTTACCTGCCTTGTTTGTTTCACGTGTGGCGACCATTATCAGCGATGATACGCGTTTTAGAGCTCAGGGACTCACGCAGCTCACCGCCACTGGCCTCTGTCGTCCCTCAGGCTACATGGCCTTGTATTGCTACCTCACAGTTTGCACTCTGGATTGGGTTGTTTTTTGTAAATTTTTTGGCAAACTTATGTATCCTTGGCTCTGCTGGAAGGGCTCTGATGCTCCCCAGTCTGGGGCCGTCCTCTCCCGAGTTCCTCCTGTGTCTGGAGCCTGACCCCCAGGCAGCTGCGCAGGCATCACCTGTGGCAGGTCTCCCGCCCTCTAGGCCTCCTGCTCCTCACACCTGGGCTGCATGCAGAGGTGGTGGTCATGACGTTTCCCTGGAGAGGGCTCTGTTGCCTCCAACGAGGAAAATCCTTACTGACCGTTTTACCAATCCTCGCGATATGTTGTTAATATGACTACTGGTATGAAAGTTTAATAAGCAGTATCCTGGTTAATTTATGAATTTCCTTCCATTTGCACCTCCTCCATATTCATGACCTTTCTGTTCACAAACGCTCGTCTTGCTTCCCAGTGCCCAGGTGCTGTGCCATGCTCCCCGCACCTTGGCTGCACAATGGCCACGTGCAGGGGGCACCTCCTGCCTGGCTGGTGGATAATTAAAATGCCAGCTGACAGAGTGGCAAGGGCTTTAGAAATAAGTATGTGAGATAAATTATTAATTTATGTTCCATCCAGGACAGTTACAATATGATAAACATTTACTTATCTTGATAATGAGACGGGCTGATGTGTGGTGTGTGAGTTATGCTGTAGGTTTTCTTGTGATTTCCCCCTCTGATGGTTTTCACCTAAATAAATTCACTTCACATGGATGAGCCTGCCTGGATGAGCCATTTTTTTAAAGTCCCAGTTTAAGAAAATTAAAAGCACATCAAATAAGCAAAGAGATAAAGATGACAAATCAGCAAAGCTCTTCCCGTGTCCCCAGTTAGCCACTTGTTATTGAAAGGATCCGCTCTGGGACCACAGTGCCACAGAGGAGAGTTTAAGTAAATAATTTGGAGCTGCGCTCTGATTCTCTGGAGGGGAGGCCGTCCGTGCAGGCGGTGCTGGCACCTTGTTGGGCTGAGACTTCAATTAGGCAAATGACTCTCAGGCAGCATCTCTTCCTCCATGCCTCCTTCCTCTCAGTCCACTGGAGGGGTTTTTCTGCATTTTCTGTAGATGTGGACCGATTTCCTATGGGTGTCCAACGTGTTAAAAATGCAGAGGAAGGGGCTATTCAGTTCCAAAGTGAAAGACAGTAGGATCTCAAAGAGAAGCAAATAAAACCTTCTGTGCTCTCAAATGATCCTTAGGAAACAGGGAACTTACAGCCTTGAGCTGTGGTTCATTAGAACAGCAGGCTTTGTTACATCACTTCCTTGTATGCAGATTACTGGTTGTAGATGCACTCTAACTTATGGAAATAACTTCATCTTTGCTTTTGAAATATCTTGAGTGTAAGAGCTATCAGAGTACATGTCCATGGTCATCCTAAAATTTCAAATTGTATTTGGAAATATTTTAAGACCAATTTACTCTATTTATTCATGGCTTATCATTAAAGAAAGCTCAGAAAATGTCAATTTTAGTGTTTCAGTGATAGTGGAAATTGCTAGCAGTGTAAAATTCACTTCCTGCTTGATTCTTCACCCATAGGGGGTTTTATTGTTTTTTGTTTTTTTTTTAATCTCCAGAGCAAGCCCATTATGAGTATTTCAGGTCACTCAGTGCAAGTCAGTGACAGGGTAACTTTAAGCAGAACTGACTTTTAATTTCAGAAAAGAGAATCAATATATGGATTGCATAATACTTTCTGGAAGACAAATGTCTCACTCGTTGCTTCTAAAAGCATGATGAGAAATCTGGATTTTTCTTAGAAGAATTTTATCTGTGAGCTATCTATACTCATAACATCCTCCCCTGTTCTTCCCTTGAGTGTGTCCGGGTGCGCGCTCTGCTCGCTAGCCTGGCTGTATACCTATTTCTACCTGGTATTCGTTGGGATTCCTCAGATCAAAGTAGTATTATGCGCAGGTCACGGCGCTCTCACGGGGGCCTGACTCCGAGGGTCCTCACAGTGACCACCTGCTGCAGTGCCTGGGGTGCTGCACACTCTTGCAGGCGGCGTGTGCCCCCTCAGTGTTCCGGTGCATCATTTCCTTTAAAGGTGCTGCCTCGCCCTGTAGATGTCTGGCCAGCCAGGGCTTGTGTGCTCCGGGCGATGCCCTTTCATTGTAAGCCACGTGTTAGAAATCAGCCAGGGCCGCCTTTCCTTCCCTAGTTCTCCTCAGCAGAAATGCCTTTGGCACTGGCACCACTCTCCTGCAGCTTGCAGAAGTGACTTTCTGGCCCCTTCTGTCCTGAGATTCAGATCAGCCCCTCCGCTCCCGCTGGGGATGGTCCTAAACGTCTCTGTGCCGCTGCCAGGGCCTGCCGGCTGCTCTGGGATGTGGAGCGGCCCCTCTGGGAATCTGGCCAGTGTGCGGTGGGGCCGCGTCTGACCCTGCCTGCAGTGCTGCACTTCCCCACTTGGGTCACCTGCTCTTTCCTGGAGTCACTCACTTCAGTCTTGGCAACATTTTCTTTTTCTTTGTGCGTTCTCTGTCATTAGCGCTCACAGAAACACTCATTTCCTCTCTGGGGCTGCCCTAGGCACCTCGGCCAGAGGCCTGGTGTCCCTGTGGTGTGGAAGGTCGGGAATCCTGCCCGTGTAGCCCCAGGTACAGCCATTCACCTTGGCTTTTTTCCTGTCACGAGAAGCATCTATAATAAAACCAGTGGCCGGTCACACAAAAATTCAGCCAAACTTTTTTTTTTAATCGATGTAAATCTTCCATACTGTTTAAATGTCGGAACTAAATTTACCAAACTTGGCAGATCTGTAAAGCTGAGCAGGACTGCCAAGTGTTCCCAGTTTCCAGCAGAGAGAGTTCTAACAGTTCCTGAAATACTTGTAGGAGGCACCTGGTGGTAATTGCAGCTTCATCATTCTTCCCCAGCGCCCACCTTGCTAGCTGGCGTCTGAACACTGCTGATCGCTGCAGGGATGAGAAAGTGCCGAGGTGGAATGGTCCCCAAACACGGGCTAGCCTGGGGCAGGCACAGCCTGCAGACTCCGCCAGAGAGTCCCGCCGGGTTCCCAGCCTGGACCAGACTGTCACCCCAGAGAGGTGTGGGGTGGGCGGTAGCCAGGGCAGCCCTGCAAGTCTGACTGGCCCGCTTGTCCGTTCCCCTGCCCAGGGGCTGCTGTCCGAGATCCTGCGCAAGGAGGAGGACCCCAGGACGGCCTCGCAGTCCCTGCTCGTGAACCTGCGGGCCATGCAGAACTTCCTCAACCTGCCGGAGGTGGAGCGGGACCGCATCTACCAGGACGAGCGCGAGCGCAGTATGAACCCCAACGTGAGCATGGTGTCCTCAGCCTCCAGCAGCCCCAGCTCCTCTCGAACCCCACAGGTGAGTTGTCTGCCACCCCCTCTGCTCCCAGACACCTCTGGCTCCACTGCACTGTGGTTTCTCTTGAAAACCAAGAGACCCAGTTCGAGGATTTCCTAGCTCAGATACAGACCTGTGGAAGGACACGGCCTCTGGCCCCAGTGATGGTCCTTCCGAGTGTGAGGCCCCTGGCAGCGCCCAGGAAGGCAGAGGGGAGGCTGGGAGTGGCCCAGGATGTCTGCGTTTGCTGCTTAGTTATGGCCAGAGGGAGGCGAGCTGGAGTGGAAATTGAATTGCACAGGGAGTGCGCCGCTCTCCTGTGAACAGTGTGTGCATCTGGGTGGTGCGGGTGATGGGGACCAGGGCAGGGAACACAGCCGTCCACGTTCTGCTTTGTGGCGTTCCGAAGATGAGATGGGGAAGCTCTGCGTGCCTCCGGCGTGTGGAGGTGTGGCTGGATCCGGCAGTTGGGGCCGGCGCAGCCCTGCTTCTCCCAGATGACGCCTTCCTGGGCGTGGAAGGACTCCTGCCGCACACAGCCGGGATGCAGGCAGTGTGTCCCCCAGCTTCCGCGGGGCAGCCCCGTCCTTTCCAGTTCAGAGCTGAGCCCACGCGTCCCAGCCTCGTCCTGTGTCCCGGAGCTTCTCCCGCAGGGCTCGCTCCTCATCCGTCCTTCTCGTTCACGGTGCCGAGAGGGTTGCGGACTCGGGGGCTGCTCTCAGAACTGTGCAGCAGGTCTGCGTCTGTGTAAAATTCAAAGCTGGCCACTTCCAGACCAGAGTTGGTTCTTCAGTACTGTAGTTCTGCTTTTGAGTTTGTTTTCTGAGAAATTTCAAGGAGTTGATTAAGCATAGAACCAGAATTTTATTCTGGTAGGAATATTTGAGCTTTTAAAAGCATATCAATTTTTTCACACATCTGACTCTTTTTTTAAATTTTTGCATCCTGCATTAGATTTTTAATTGAAGATCACTTTTTGTTGTGCACTGCCAAATGATATGACTTACACTTTACTCTTTAGTGAATTTTGAGCTTTAGTTAGTGTTAAACCTAAAATAGGTCTCTTGACTGCTTGCTTTGCACTAATATTGTCAAAACTTTTTACTTGTTTTTTTAGTGTTGGTCATACACACTGAGCTATGAAATTGGACAAGTTATTAATTTGCACTAATACTTGATTCTATTAAATTCATCTGTATTTTTGCCACTTGTGAAGTCCACTAAACCATTGTTGGTGAGCCCAGGCCCACTCTTCCAGAAAGGCCAGGGCTTGTTAGGAGACAGCCCGGTCTGTGTGTTTTGTTTCTGGCTCCGTTATAGTGTTTTTCTAGCACTGTTTTCTCCCTGGGCACCTTCCCAAGGACCTAACGGTTTTCAGAGCCTGACCAGCTTACAAGGCCACACAACTAGAGCCAGTAGTTTGCTTTGTTTGAACAGAACACCATTTTCAAGATTCTTAGATAAGGACCCCCTCTGGGGATGAGTGCAGGCAACTGTCCATCATTTAGCAGTTTGAGATTTCTGAAAATAAAGATAAGACCCTCAAGCATGTTGTTGAGAGTGCAGTTGGGACAGCGCCCTTGTCCCTGCATTCTGTGCAGTGTTCTTAGTCCCCTGGGCCCAGGTCCAGTAAGAGGTCACTGAAGCCTGAAACCCTCATGAGCACCTGCCAATTCGGGATCCTCCCAATCATCTCTGAAGCTGGGCCCAGGGTGCAGTGTGGCTCCCTGTGACGAGGGCGTCATCTTCTTGCAGCTCTGGGCTCTCAGGGTACCTCATAGTAACACAGCGACCGCAGGGCTAGAGCGGTCCTGGAACACGCCTCATGTCAGGTATCCCGTGTGTGAGTTCTTCCACTGCTGTTCTGTGCTGCTGTTCCCCATGGACCAATGAGAAAACAGGCATAGTTGTGGGCGTTAAATAACTCCCACGGGTCATGGGTGGGGTCGAGTGGCAGAACTGGATCTGAACTGCTGTGGTCCTGACTCTGGAACCTGGACTCCTGACCACCCGGGGTAGTTCCCGAAGGGCTTTTTGTCTGGTCCCTGGGGTCCAGAGACATCTGACCAGGGGAGGAGGAGAAGGTAGTCGGGGTGCTCGTGGAAACAGTTGAGAATCATTTGCGCAAACATCTACTTAGTAAGGGAATGCATTGTGGGTTAGACTTTTAGGGAAGAAAAAGGAGTTTCCTGAAGGCACTAGTGTGGATGCGGTTATGACGGGAAGGCCCCAGGTAGCACGGAAGAGGATTCTGTAGGTGCCACAGCCACTGAGCCTCCTGGGAGGCCTGCGAGCTCAGGACATGGCACTTCCCTCCCAGCTTGGGCTGAGCATCCTCTTTGATCCTGGGCTTCTTTGTCTACAAAGGAGAACCTGATGGTTCCTACCTCATTGGATGCCTACAAAGATGAGATAAAAGTTCAAACACTTCCTGGAGTGCCTGGCCCATGCAAGACTCCCTTGGATCGTACTCACCACAACTTAGCCGTGCTTGGAGAACAGCTGACCCTGTGGGGCCTTGGCAGATGCCGCTCTGCCTTCCTCCACCCGTGCCTGCCCCTGACCTGGGGTTCTCATGTGAATTGGGCCATTCAGCATGTGCCAATGGCCCAAGGTGGCCCTGATGGCCCTCCGCCCCTCTCCGTGGGCACCCGCAGGGCCAGGACTAGCACACCAGTCTTTGGGATCAAGCGGACTCGGATGTTCAGGGTTCTTCTCACCCGGGAGGCACAGATGCCTGCTGGGTTGTCCTTCATTTGTCTCTGAAGCTGATGGGAAATCATTCAATTAAAATGCACGTGGCAGAATACATAAAACTGCAATATGAGTTTAAGGAAATAAAAACGGGATATCACAGGCATTCTGAAGCCGAGTTTCATGAAATGAAATTCTGTTTCATTTCCACTGATTTCCTAGGTGAAATTAGGTGACTGTCTGGGTAGCATAATGATGATAAGGATGGGACCCACACATACTCAAATGACATACGCAAGTCTTAATAAAGAGTGAGACTGACTCTGGGGAGTGCATTGAATTGAGTAATAATTTATTATGTAGAGACCTCTACCCATTTACTCATTTTTTCTGGAAGAATTGGCGCTTCCTGCAAGGTGTGCCACTTTCACACAGGAAGCTGTGTGCATTCTGCACCTCACTGACTGCACACAGCTGGGTGCCCAGGGTGCCCACCCCGTCTGGGAGCCACGCAGGGCAGGCGGCGGCGGGGAGGACGGGTCGCCAGGGCTCTGCGCGTCCTGTAGGAACGCATGCGATTATTTCCAGCCACAATTAACCTGATTAGAATAATGGACAGGAAGTGTCCCTCTATCGAATGCAGCTTGGCATCAGCTGACTGAAGTCCTTTGATAATTTCTGCACAGATGGCTGGGCTGAATGCAGCACTTTTTAAATTATTATTTTCATGGTCTCTCGGTAGGCCAAAACCTCGACGCCGACAGCAGACCTCCCTATTAAGGTGGACGGCGCCAACGTCAACATCACAGCTGCCATTTATGATGAGATCCAACAGGAGATGAAAAGGGCCAAGGTGTCCCAAGCCCTGTTTGCCAAAGTGGCTGCAAATAAAAGTCAGGTGAGTAGATTTTAAAGGGGCGAAGTCGAGGGCTGGATTGAGACCCTCTGCCTCCTCCTCTCACCAGTAAAAATTCATCTGTTCCTTAATAACAACAGCAAGCATCCCAGGGGCCCCCGTCCAGGTCTGCCTTGGGCTTCTGTTCTGCTGGAATTCAACAGAGAGACTGAGCCAAAGCCCCGGTTCTCCCTTTGAAGAGCTTTGTTGTTAAGAAGAGCCTTGACTGGCTTCCCTTTGAGCGCTGGCCGCGACCTGGGGTGCTTTGCTTCCGCCCCCTGCCCTGGGCCCGACCCGCAGGTGCGTGCACCTCCCCAGCCGGCTCAGTGCTCACAGCTCCCGTGCTGTCACGGAACCCTCCTGGCCCGGGCTCCTTGCCGCTGTCAGGTGTTTCTTTTCCGTTCAGGGGACACTTGTTTTCCCACAGGAAACACGTGGGGATGCAGAGTCAGTGTTAAAATCTTTTAACAGAAAAACACGGAAGCTCCTCTGGTAAAAGCGTTGAGATTGTTGGGATGGTGAGGAGTGGAAAGCTCGGGGGAGAGGAGCAGACAGATGCTTCGGTTTTTATTTCTGCAACTAGCAACAGTTGATGGGACCCACTCGGCTTCGGTTTGTTTAAAGGGACGACTGGGCTGATCGTAGACACCTGTGAGTGAGCAGGAGTCGTGTGTGGCCCCTGAGATAAAGCATGGACGCACGCTGGACAAAGTTGGTTAAAACATAACGGGACAGCTGCTGGGTTTGGACTTGATGCCCTGTCACGGTGCCGGACTGATGTCCTCACAGCCCTGTGCGGAGGTGGGGAACAGGCGGTTCTCCTGAACAGGTCTTCGGTGTGTGCCACAGGAAGTGCTCCTTGGCCCTGAATATCTGCTAGGCAAGAAGGTCTTCAATTAGAAGTGAGCTTTTGAGCGACAGAGTGCACTTGGGTGGACTAGACGGCTGTGGGCCTAGCGTTCTTAGCGGTGCCGGTGCAGCATCCTGACTTCAGCAGTTCGCAGATGTTAATAAAGAGAAAGGAGAAGAATATCAAGACATTTTGAAGAGGGTTGCAATGTTTCCCTTCTCGATTTCAGTGTAGTCGCTTTCCCAGGTGACTCTGACTCTCTCCATCAACGAAATCAGTGAAACACAGCTTGCTAAGATATGATGTCCAACCCTGGTATGAAACACATGAAAAGAAAATACCATGGAGCCTTCTTAAACTGTTAAATGCATAAAATCCCATGTACCACATGGCCAGATATAATGAGAGTTGGAGCTGTTAAATGAATAAAGCTGTTAAATGCATAATGCCACTTGGCAAAACTACTGTGCATTTAATGGTTTTCCACTGTGTAATAAAGGACATATGTGGCAAATGTGCAGAGAGTGTAAAAGCTGCACAATTGGTTTTGCATACCTGCCCCTTCGCCATGACTTGATGTAAATATCAAAAGTTTCACCTCGTCCTTCTTTTATGAGCATCTCTCAAGGAACTCTGGAGACCACAGTCCGAGAACTTGATCCCAGACGCCTGTGATCTTCCCGGGCACTTGGCACGGAGGCTGTGGAATTAGCGATGGCTCAGCTCCCCAACGCAGTTCAGGTGGCTGATTGGAGCCGCGCCTGCCAGTTGGCAGGAGCACATTTTTTGATGCCTCCCAAAGCAATCGGGAGCGGAAATTTGTAGAATCGGAAGGAAAATGTCGCTCTGGGAATGAGAATGCTTTAGGGTGAGGTTGAACCTTGGTGGGGGCCGGGCCTTGGGAAGCTCGTCTCTCCTCATGGGCTCAGTGGTCTCGTCCTCGTCGGCCAGCGGAATGTCATGGGAGTAGCTGACTAGAGAAGCAAGAGGCTGCTGCCACACGAAGGGCTTCACTGGGAGTTTCAGAGGCAGCCGAGATGAGACACGCAGGCCCTTGTCTGGGCTCCCATGTACACGTGACGGGGAGCGCACCATGGGACTGACTGGGGTGGGTCCCGCCTCAGAACAAAGGCTCCCTCTCCTCCCCTGCACCCCCACCCTCGCTTGTTTCCCTCAGTGACTGAGGAGGGAATGCCTCCCAGAGACTTTCCATTCTTGCAGAGGTCCGATTAGTAAGTCCTGTAATTAGGACTGGACTGGAGCAGGCTGGGCCCGAAGGCCCATTCGCACCCTCACAGTGCCCTTCCCTGTCAGAAAGTCTCTTTAGGATGGAAATGGGCCCTCCCTCGAGCCTCGCTCCTCTGGGGCGTGAATTGGTGCAGTCACCTATTAAAATCATGCCAAGCACAAAATCCAGTCCCGTGAGCACAGAGTGGGAGGGAAGGGCGGTTTGGACGTGTGAGAGCAAGGCTGTTGTGTCAGGGCCCAGGCTGAGGCCTGCGGGGGAGGAGCAGGGCACCACACCAGACTGGCGAGTGTGCCTTCAGCATGGCGCCTGTGTCTTGGTGGGCCAGGGCCTGCTACACCCTTCCGTCAGGGAGCGGACAGAAGTCAGTCGGGAGTGGATAAGAGGGAAGGCTCAGTGGCGCATGCTTTGCTGTGCACTCCCCGCCCTTCTGATTTGGGTCGGGTCAGTGGGAGGCACTAAGCTTTCTGTGGCTCCGAGCATTCTCTTCCGTGCTCGGGCGCGGGTGACACTGTAGCCAGAGCCCACTGTTGTTGAGGAGGAGTGAGGCTCACACTGCATGTGTCACTGCCACCCGCGCAGCCTCTGTCCTCTCCGTGCCGCTCACTGCAGTTCTGTAGGGTTCCCACCTACTCCTTCACCTGGGGCCTGGAGGTGTCCACTCAGGGGGCCGGGACTGCCTCAGGGTGTCCTACCACAGTCCTCCGGGGATGGAGGCTGAGGCAGGGGGATTGCCATGAGTCCAAGGCCAGCCTGGCCTACCTAGCAAGACCTTGTCTCAGGAGAAAAACCCTTATCAAGGTCACTGTGAAAGAGCTTTTGCCCCATTCTCTCCTAGGAGCTGGACAGTTTCTGGCCATATGTTTGGGAATTTTATCCATTTTGACTTGATTTTTGTGCATGGTAAAAGACTCTAGGATACGGGCCTGTTTGCTTTTTTTGCATGTGAAAAAATAGCTTCCCGGCATGGTTTATGCAGGAGACTTTCTTTCCCTGTGTCTTCGTGATGCCCTGTTGGGAGTTGTTTGTCCATCCATGCTTCGATGCATTTCTGGGCTCTCTGTTCCATTCGTCTGTGTTTGCCTGTTTGCTTCAATGCAGTGCCATACCATTTTGATTACTCTAGCTTTGTAATGTAAGTTCAGTGTGATTTGCTTTCTTTCTCAGTATTGCTTTGGCTATTGTTGCTGTTTCGTTTTTCATTTTTCTTTGGGGATTTTGTGGTTCCATATGAATTTTAAGATTTCTTTTTCTATTTCTGTGAAGGATGCCACTGAAATCTTTTCTTCCTGTGTCTTTTTTTCATTCTTTCTCTTACTCTCCTCTTTCTTCTCCCCTCCTCCTTGTCATCTTCCTCCTCATCACAGCGCTTTGTTGTTAATATACATCCTTCTTGGGCCATCTGTGAGTGCTCTTTCCAGTGCCCGTGCCCAGTGTGCATGGTTGCATATCTGTGTAGAGACCTTCTGACTCTCTGTGGTGTCCTGTGTGTCTGTGTGCCTCCTTGACTCAGGCCTCTGTTCTGAAATAAAATCTCCATCATGCTCAATGACACTTTGCCAACACATCCATAAAAACATGAGAGATGTCCGTCAGGTAGCGCAGGGACAGCTGAAAATCGGTCCCGTCAGGACAGCTTGCATAGAACAAAAAAAGAAGCAGATCAGTTTTATGCCCACGTTCCAGGCATCACAGCACCAACCTTGAACTGCAGCCAGTGCCCAGCACCGACCTGAAGCCCTCCACACGTCTACCTCCTAGTTAGCCACCTTCCATTTCTGTTTTCTTGATTAGGTTATCTTGAATCATTAGAGTTAATCATTTTAATGGACATTACTGGGTCCTTGATAAGAGTCTTGGGTGACGGAGATAGAGAGCTGAGTGTTATCTGGCTTCCTGAGCACACTCCAGAAGAATCTCAACCCTTTCACAGTTATAAAAAGTTTGTTTGGGGACTTTCTGTGCTTTCCTTTAGAAAGCGAACTGTCTGTGGTTAATAATATGAATTTTTCTTTTAAGACACTGAGAAAACATTTCCTTCGGTTACATATGCTGACATTTTCTGTATTGAAGATGTGGGTGATAAATGGCCTTTTCCATTTCTGCCGCAAGGAGCCTGAGTCACTCCCCGGAGCTGTTCATTTGCCGATGTTCATTCATCGGGTTCCTGGAGGGCGGGGGTGGGGCCCGCGTGCGGCCCCCCGAGTCCTCTTGTGTAGAGGACATGCAGGGGAAGAGCAGAGCCCTCCCTCCAAGGAGCACGGCCTCCTCCACAGGGCTGAGGTTGTTCTCTCTTCCTGGAGGTCAGAGCAGACGATAGCGTGTCTTTAATACCAGTTTGTACTTATTAGGAAATATCATAAAAGCTGGAAAAATTTTTACAGGTAGAACCTTTTCCTCCCTTTCTTTTTAAAGAACGGACGAGAGGGACGGGAGAAGTTCGAGTTATCACCAGTGTCCTGGCAGAGGGAAAGCCCGTCCCTGTGTAGCGGGTGCGTTTCAGTACCATGGACAGGAGCCTCTGCCCTGCCCCTGCAGCACAGCAGCACAGCAGCACAGGGTTCAGGGCTGGGACCACTCCAGCAGCGGTGCTATCATTTTGTAAACAGACCTCGATTGCCTGCACACTGAAAGCTTAGTGTGTGGTTTGGAGAGTTCTAGACCTTGTGTGTGTGTGCGTGTCGTGTGTGTGTGTAATGAGTGAAATAGATAATGCCATTCCCTGTTTATTTTCAGTCCAGGAGAGCTTGAACACCTGACACAAGAACAGCGGCAACAAACATGCACCGAGAGGAGAGCGAGGACAGGGAACAAAATGGTTGGCAATGAGAACAGACCTTTTAAATGGCTGGTGTCGCTGGGGCTTTTGTCCTTTCTCTCTAGAGTGAGAACTCGTGCAGTGAAACT